ATATATATATATATATATATATATTACAAACTATTTTTTAGATTGTTATGAAATTCATTCAATGTTTTAAATATTTTTTTCTTATTATTTGTGCAATTATTTTTAAATAATATATCAATTAAATATTTTTTTATTTGTATATCTGAAAATTTCTCTACTTCTTTTATATTTTTAGTTATTATATGTTTTTTTTTCGCATGAAAATGTTTAAATATTAATTTAAGTATTCAATATAGCATAAACCTTTCATTTATTAAATAATATAAAAAAAATTATTTTCCTATTCTCTTATTATTAATTTTTACATTATTTGAAAAATGCTTTTGTTTAACTAAAACAATTTCTATTGTCTTTCAACAATTGGACTAAATTGATTTTTTACAATAGTCTATTAATTATTTATAAGATGCACACTTATTTTATTATTTTTCTATTTATTATTTATTTTATCATATAAAATATTATTTTGATATTTTTATTTAATTATTTTTAATTTTTAAAATGTAATTTTATCACTATAATCATAAATAAATTTTATTTATTATAATATAATAATTTAATTAATTTTCATAATTTTTTATAATCATTCAAATTGAAATTCAAAAGGTAAAAATTTATGTTTAATTTTAATTATGATTAATTTAAATTTTTTCTTTTGTATAATTTTAATCAAGTGATTATATTATAATTTTAATTAGTATATAAATAAAGAAATTATATTAAAATTTAAAAGTTGATGTAAAGATATTTAATTTTTTTGTTTTCTTTTTATATTTTCTGAAAATATTTTTAAACTTTATCAACTAGGTTTTATTAACATTATTTGATAAATATTTTAATTGATATTTTCTTTAGTATTTTATAATTATAATTTTTTTATAAGTATTCGATATTAAGAAATAAAATTATTTTCATTTAATAATATTAATTTTCTATTTGTTTTACAAAAATTAATTAATTGATATTAAAACGGTATGAAAATATATATAAATATATACTTAGAACGAAAATGATACCCATTGAATTTAAAAATAATTTCTTTAAGAATAAATACGAGATAGTAAATCTTGTTCCGCTTCGTTACTTTTAATATATATATATATATATATATATATATATATATATATATATATATATATATTGACAAATTAACAGAATTGCTCAAAAATTAAATATATTTACATGGATTGATATAGGGATGGTAACGAAGCGGAACAAGATTTACTATCTCGTATTTATTCTTAAAGAAATTATTTTTAAATTCAATGGGTATCATTTTCGTTCTAAGTATATATTTATATATATTTTCATACCGTTTTAATATCAATTAATTAATTTTTGTAAAACAAATAGAAAATTAATATTATTAAATGAAAATAATTTTATTTCTTAATATCGAATACTTATAAAAAAATTATAATTATAAAATACTAAAGAAAATATCAATTAAAATATTTATCAAATAATGTTAATAAAACCTAGTTGATAAAGTTTAAAAATATTTTCAGAAAATATAAAAAGAAAACAAAAAAATTAAATATCTTTACATCAACTTTTAAATTTTAATATAATTTCTTTATTTATATACTAATTAAAATTATAATATAATCACTTGATTAAAATTATACAAAAGAAAAAATTTAAATTAATCATAATTAAAATTAAACATAAATTTTTACCTTTTGAATTTCAATTTGAATGATTATAAAAAATTATGAAAATTAATTAAATTATTATATTATAATAAATAAAATTTATTTATGATTATAGTGATAAAATTACATTTTAAAAATTAAAAATAATTAAATAAAAATATCAAAATAATATTTTATATGATAAAATAAATAATAAATAGAAAAATAATAAAATAAGTGTGCATCTTATAAATAATTAATAGACTATTGTAAAAAATCAATTTAGTCCAATTGTTGAAAGACAATAGAAATTGTTTTAGTTAAACAAAAGCATTTTTCAAATAATGTAAAAATTAATAATAAGAGAATAGGAAAATAATTTTTTTTATATTATTTAATAAATGAAAGGTTTATGCTATATTGAATACTTAAATTAATATTTAAACATTTTCATGCGAAAAAAAAACATATAATAACTAAAAATATAAAAGAAGTAGAGAAATTTTCAGATATACAAATAAAAAAATATTTAATTGATATATTATTTAAAAATAATTGCACAAATAATAAGAAAAAAATATTTAAAACATTGAATGAATTTCATAACAATCTAAAAAATAGTTTGTAATATATATATATATATATATATATATATATATATATATATATATATATAATATGTTACTTGATAAATGATAAGTATTTTAATAATTTAAATGACACGAAAATTAACGTGGAAATAAATATTATAACAATGAGATGAGATGAAAAACATATCTATCTCTAAATATAATTAAAAACAAATTAGATATTATTTATAATCACATTATATCTATATTAAAATAGAAACAAATTTAAACCATATTTACAAAGGGAGATTTATTTGTTATTCCTATAATATATATATCAAATGTAAAGATTGATGTAGTAGTTAAGGAAAATATTGATAATAGGCATGGTTCAGAGTGGTGGCCTGTTCAAATTTAAAAATTTAGTTTAGCTTGTTTGGTTCTTTGCACAGTAAACCTTTGCAGCAACTGCATCCGAGACAGCTCTGTCCATTGAGCAGTGTAAAAGGGTCACCAGCATTTCTTAATGTGAATCTGATGATATCATGTCCCAAGGATGCATCAATAGAAATAACTTGTCAACTATTAACAAACTTTTTTTTTCTGTGGACAAGGATAATATTTTATCTCATAATTTAACCACTGAAATGTATGGTATTTTTTTTTTATATCATATTATTTTACTTCAAACCAAAAGCAAGTCTCAACATTTATATAAGGATGGAAGAAAAAAATAAACATAAACTAATATATTCTACTACTAAAATACTATTTTTTGAATTTCAATAATATATATATATAATAAAACGAAATATTATAGTATTAAAACTTGTGAATAATTTTAATCAAAATAATATTTTCAAACTCATATAGGATTTAATAAAAAGATATCTTATAGTGACAAAATAATATATTATCATGAATTACGTTTTTAAATGAAGCTATTATACTAATTTAAGTATTTTTGCTAAATTATAATTTAATTACAGAAAATAGTCAACATACTTGGATCACATCGTCAACACAATTTAATTTGGAATTAATTTAATTTTGTTAAGATATTTTAAAACTTAAATTGTTATTATATTTATATATTTCTTATTTTTTTATAAATATGACCCTTGTGTTTGACTTTTAAATCGTAGTGGATACGTCCATAAATCTAACGGTTTATATTTTTATTACTTTATAGTTTATTGTTTTGCAATATGATTAGATATGTTAGGTTACATTTTAATTTTAATGAAATTACATATAATATTTTTTCTTCTTATAAATTATGCAGAAACCATATTAATGTATTTTTAAATGATATTAACAAAAATTATTTAAACATTATAAATACATCTAAGGTAAAATTATTTATATTCTTGTTTTGAGTAAAAGAAGTTGCTTTTATAATTAATAAAAGATAAGTAAAACTTAATTTGTGAGAGGAGAATAATAAATAAGTACAATTAATAAAAAATAATACTCAAATAATTGAAAAAAACAGTATAAGAAGAAGAATGAAAGAAGGGCACCAAAATTAAAGGGAGAAGTTTCTCATGAGGCATAACCAGACGACAGAAATAGGCACGCAAATCTAGTCTAGCACAACTTTGTCCTCAAACGTTGTTTATGATGGACGCCGATCCTCTGTCTCAGCCTGAACCTCGTGATTATTTGGAACCTTTCAGGGTTTCAGTTCATCAAATTCTTAACAGAGTCAACCAGGTACTCAATTCCTTCTTCCTATTTTTTTCTTTTTGTTTTGGGCATTTTTCTTTTTCTCATTAGGACTCTGTGAATTAGCTCACCCTAGAAACTTTACTGCAAATGAAATATATCAAACCCTTGCTTTTTGTCTTATTAATTGTGATTTACTATCAGGGTTTTAGTTCAAGTGGGTAGGACTGAAGAGTATGTGAACAACAAGTAGAGAAAATTTTAATTAAAACACATCTAAAGTTTATGCATTTTTTTTTTCATATAACTAATGTAGTGTACGTAAACTAATTGGTTTCATAGAGTGAAGTTAATCAGTACAGATTTTAGAGTGAGGCCTGTACTTGCTGTGGATACTCGATATGTGACAGAAAAAAACAAAGAAGAGACACGATGTCATGGACTTGAGGTAGAAGACAATAATAAGGATAAATGAAATAAATTTTTCCAGTAGTGAATTTTGGTTTTCGTGAGCTAAATTAACTTATGCAAAATCTTTCTCATATTAGCTTCTTCAAAAGCAGACTTTAAGTTATGTATGAACTAGTTTTTAACTTAATAAGAAATTTATTTTCTTTTTTTTTCTCTTAGAAGTGTTTATGGAAAGTATACTCAATCAGACCCTATGCTCACAATGCGCAACCAAAAGCAAAACAACCTGTGAATTGAATTTGTTTCTTCTTCATGATTAAGGCGTGGGGGGTTAAATAGATATATTATCCTTTTGGGTTATCCCCAACACTGCTTGCATGAGGAATTTTCTTTTTTCCCTTTTGTTATGATTTTAATGTGATTTTTATTAAATTAAGTTTCAAATGACTATTATGTAGCCTTTTAATGGCTAGTAGCTGTGGCTTTAATTGATGGGATTTTCTTTTGGGCCTGACTTAGTAATGAGACCACAAGTGAAGCTAATTTGAATTATGACTTTGTTTTGATCAGTTATACAGTTATTTATAGATCAGAATTATTTAATACCCTAGACTCTATGCTTTGTTCTTTCTGCCATTTTTACTAATCTTAACCATAAATTTATAAAGAAGTTGGCTTTCATACTTCCATTACTATTCAGCTGATATGTAAGTGAAGGAATATGTATAACTTTTATATCAATGTTTGATGGTCTAAAGACTCTAAACAGTTTAATATAAATGTTTGGTGCTAAGTTAAAATTTACCGCCTTGGAGTTGTGGGCTTAATGTTAGTTTTTCTTTTTAGTTAAGAAAAATAATCTTATAGTGCCTTGTACAGCTTGAGAAGCAAGTGACTGAGGTTGAACAGTTCTATGAATCCACCGATAACATTCAAGGTAATAATTCTAAAGGTGGCTCACTTGTAAAAGAGAAGGGCAGGGAGAAGCATCCTACTGGCACCAAAAAGCCTATGCAAGATGCATCACATACTGAAGCTGCCGCTGCAAAGAGAATGCAAGAGCTTATGCGCCAGTTTTCCACAATATTGCGTCAGGCAAGCACAAAAATTTTGCAGCATTTTTGTAGTAATCTTTATGAATGTAGTTTTTCCCAAGTCTCCTTATAGTTGGTTTTTCTTTTATAGTTAATGTTATAAAATGTTTTATCCATTTGCGTTGATGTGATGACAAAAGTTAATTTTTAGCTTACCTTTCAAATGAAATGTACTGAACATTTTCAATATTTCTAAAGTCGAACCATGTACTTATGTGGGAATTTGATCCTATTTTTAATGTGAACCACCTAGCTCTTTCTATTACTCTTGAACACTAAATCAAGTATTTGACAGAACATTATTGTGCCATTCAATTCATGTATCTGATCCTGTTTAGTAAGAAAGTATATGGTTGCTTTGAATGAGTGGCCAAGGGGCATTGCCCTTGTTTTTACTTTCTTCAATTACTTCTTATTGTTTACATTTTGATTAACTAGTTATAGTTATACTTGTTGGTTGGATGGGGCTTGTATTGAACTTTATACTGATGGCCTATACTGTTAGAATAATTATTAAGTCTACCTATGATTAGTATAGCAGGGCCTAAAGTAGGTAGTTTTCTTGGGTGTGACCCACCCTCTTACAGTAAGAGCACTGTGGACGTCCTCGACCTCCACGTCCTCCTCCTCTAGTGCCACGTCCTCCTCTTCCTCGCGTGGCAACCATGACAGATGGTTCCATTGTTTCATGAGCTTCCTGAGACTGAGTCACTTGAACACTAAGAAGTCGTGTGGTCAAGTCTTCCAAGGAAGGGACCTCATGACTTGTCAGAAGTTGATCTCTGATGTGATTCAAATCTGGATGCAAAGCACGGAGGATCATCACCATATAATACTTGTCAAGCTTCTTTTTGATATCTTCCGAAGATTCCACTTCCAAGAACATTCTCAATTCTTCCACAGCTGCTTGGGCTTCAGTCATGAAGGAGACCATATCATGGTCTGTCATTTTGAGACAGTTGAGCTTGTTTGCGGTATCATAGAGACGTTGAATATCATTAGCATAAATGCTTTGAGCTTTCTTCCAAAAAGTGACATGTCTTGAAGGCTCTAAGAGATATCAAAAATCGGGGTTCCACAGATTGCCACAATAGGGCACACAATTGGAAATCAGCTTGTTTCCATTGTTCAGCTTTGTCAGAAGGTACTTGGCTCCCATCCTGCTCAAGGTGGTTATAATGTCCTTGACCAAGGAACCACATTTCCTCAGCAGCAGACCAAGACCGATAATTCTTTCCGTTTAGCTTTTCGGAAGTGATTGAGGGACTTCCAGAGAAAGAAAGAGCACTTCCAGACGCCATTCTTTGATAAAAACAGGAGAAGGAACCAGAAAAACCGTGAAGAACCAGAAAACCCTGGAGGGTTTCTTAGGGTTTTCTTAAAGGGGAGCTTCTGGACACACCAAAGTTAGATTTTGAGGGTCAGAACGGACAGAGGAGCAGAGGGCGACAACTATGGAGGTGGCGCGGCGACTTTCCGGTGAGCAGAGGGCGGCGCGTGGACAGCACGCGCCTGTTCGCAGCGCACAAAGAGGCTGCGCGTGGCGGAGTGTGGAGGAGAATCAGGCGAGCCCACTGGTGGGGTTGGCTGTCGCGTGAAGAGGCGAACCAGATTCAGTGGTCGCCGGACAGAACAGTGACGGCGGCGAACGGCGGTGGACAGCAGCGGAAGAATGCGAGATGGCGGACAACCAAGTTGAAGAACTTCAAACTGCAGTTGACAACTGCAGATAGTGGCGAGACAACGGCGAACGGCACCGGACAGGTGCAAAAGTGCTGGTGGACAACCCAGGACGGAAACCAGAGCAGGATGAACCTGCTCTGATACCAACTTGAGATCTAAAACAGAGAAAAATAGTTCTAAAGGGCTTAGAAGACCCTTCTCAGTTCTATTATTTATATAGATAAAAATCTGATACAATAGATAGATGGAAGATGAAGAGATTGTCCTAGACTGCTAGGAACAATCATTATAGATAACCCAACACACAACTACCTACTTTAGGCCCTGCTATACTAATCATAGGTAGACTTAATAATTATTCTAACATACTAATTTTTACTTCACCCATATGCACTTGTCATGGTGCTTGCTGATATATCCTGTATAACATCCAAAAGTAAGTCTACTCCTGAATATTTGACTGATTAATTGTAATTAGGATTTCCTCTGTTACACTAAGTCCACAATCTTGTTTTCTTTCCTCCCATTTCATGGTCACACTTTCTCTTAGAAAACAATGCCTAATTCATTGCTTAGAAATCTCCAATTTTCAATTTATGGTTAAAAGATAGTGTCTAGTCTGTACTCAATTTTATTTTATTTATTATGAAGACATTGCTAAAAGGCTGTTTGTTTGTATTTAATTTACTATTACAAGCTTTAGAAATGGCATGTTGATTGATGGTCAAAATGAATTCCCCCTTTTCTGTTAAATATATATTAACCCTACCAAGTTCCTTTGAAAACTCAATAATGATACATTTTGTAGTTTTGCAGATAACTCAGCATAAATGGGCTTGGCCATTCTTGGATCCTGTTGATGTAGAAGGTCTCAAGCTTCATGACTATTATGAGGTAAGGCCTTTTCTTTCTTTTAAAGTTTTTCTCTCTGTTTACCCTATAGTTATATTTTATCTTTTGCCCCACCTATAAGCAAATATGCGTGAGAAATCTTTTTTTCTGAAAAAACGTTTAAATATTGATTTGGTCTCTGTCCAGCAAGTGGTGACGCTGGTTTCACTAATTGACCATATATATCTTTTATAATAATAATATTTTTGCTCCTTGTCTTTGATTATTTTTCTAAAACGAGTTAGCTTAATTTTCTTCCCCTAGGTGATTGATAAGCCCATGGATTTCAGTACAATCAAAAGTAAAATGGAAGCTAAGGAAGGCACAGGATATAATAATGTCCGGGAGATATACGCAGATGTAAGGTTGATATTCAAGAATGCAATGAAATACAACAACGAAAAACATGATGTCCATGTTATGGCAAAGACCTTACTAGAAAAATTTGAGGAAAAATGGTTGCAACTCTTACCTAAAGTTGCTGAAGAGGTAAAATGTTTTCCAATCTAGTTCCTTAATTTTTGAAATGAAGCTTTCTAATCACACATCTTGGGAGAACCATTCTGCAAAAGCTAGTAGTTGTAGTTGGAGAGGTCAGGGCCTTATAAATCCCACACTAAAATTCCATACATTGAATGTGAGACTCAGGTTTATAGCCTTGACACCTACATGAGCTGGTTATGCACTAGCCCTTTGAATAGTTCTGGACAAACCCTATAAGTAGTCCTGTTTCTCCCAAGAACTGTTGATTAGAACTGACTGCCTCATTGTATAATACAAGGATAAAACATGAGGCGGTAGATGTTGATGCTTACACAATGTTATGGGGTAGGTTGTTGGTGCAATGTTGCTTAGGAAATTTTATTTCGTCTACATCCTCTTTGGGTTATTTGTATATTTCTTTTGGATGCACACAATTTCCTTCCTCTTTAATATAATAAATAAATGTCTACTTCATCTTCCTTTTTTTTCTTTGTGATACTTTGATATCATACTCGTACACATCCATGAAATGCTCAAACATAAATAATAGTATTAAATGAGCTTATGAAAATTGTTAGTATTAAGTGGACAACTTTGCGAACTTGCAATGTTTTTAATAGACTTGCTATATCATCCTACGAAGCAGTATCATTAACGGCATTTCTCAACATTTCATTGTTGTCCTAGGATAATAAGCTCTTTCGCACTGTGTGCATCTTTTCATAATCTTTAGCACTAAATCTGCTTATGTGACCCCACCATTTTCTTCATGCAGGTTTTGGGTTATGTTAACATGACCTTGAGTCAAATCTTTGGAAGTTATGATTTTTACATAACTTTGCCATTTTTTTCATATGGTCCTGGATCATGTTCTTCACATAACCTTTTATCTACTCCTAGGAAGTAGAACATTAGGTTCTTCACATGTGTGATCTTCACAACCATTTGTTGAGTCCTAAGAACTTATGTTCTTGGCATAACTTGTTACGTTCCTCATTTGGTCAGTGGAAGTTCTTAACATATCCGTCACATAATCTTGTATTTGTAAAGTAGTATAACTTCATTGGAAAATCTTTCTGCTAATGTTGGTTGTTGTAAACTTTGGATAAAGAAAAGCTATAAGAGAAGTAGTAGAGAAGGCAACGTGACTCGGTTTTTCTGCTGCAGAAGCATATTTTATTTAATCAAATATGACATTTAAATACAATCAAACAACAGAAAAGAAGGATTAGGCTCCATGGTTTTAGGAACTGTTATTGACAATGGGAAAATAAAATCAGAAGCTAACTTCAAATAAAAAACTAACTCACTGACAGCAGAATAACTAATTTGATTTATTCAAACTAATACTTTTACAGAATCTCAGGGGCACATTCTCAACCCTCTTTCTTACTTTGGAGTCTGCAAACTCCCAGCATCTTCCTCAAAAATTCAAAACTTGCAGAGTGAAAAAATCTATATAAACATATCAGCAACTTGATCCTCAGTTTTGCATTAAGTCAGACTTGCATCTCCAATTTATTACACTTCTCTGAAGTAAAATAGCTTGACACTTATGTGCTTTGCCTTCCCATGAAACACAAGATTGTGGGAGATTGAAACAGTTGTTTGATTATTGACAAAAACTTGTGTGCTTTGCTCCTGCTTCAGTTCCAAATCTGCTAGAATATTTCTTAACCTAGCTTGATTTAAAGTTAGAAATTCTGCTAGATATTCAGCTTCTTCTGTGGTTTGAGATATAACCTTTTGCTTCTTTGAACAGCAAGAAAAAGATACCTGAAACCGTACTGAAACAGTACTCTAAACACTCCTCATATCATCCAAGCTACCTGCCCAGTCAGTCAGAAAAGCCAAAGAATTTAAATTCTTCTACCATGTAGTATTTGACTCCATAATTGACAGTTTCATTGATTTATCTTTCTACTCTCTTTGCAGCCTTCAAGTGCAGTTCACTAGCACAGTGCATGTGTCTTCATCTCAAGCTAACAGGAAATAAGATGTCAGGCATTTGTAGATGTAAGACACATTAGGCACCCAATCAAGCTTCTAAAATGAGTTTCATCAGCTTTCTTGGTTCCATCCTCCTTGCAAAAGGAACTGAACAATAGAAAATTTTATAACAAACTGAATTGTATACATTCTTTATTCACTAAACAAATAAGAAGCTTACAAGAGTATTTATAGGTAACTGTTTGCAATAAAAGGTAAGTTGTTAGTAGTAACTAACAGCTTTAGCAGAGTACATACAAAATTTTCTTACAAAATATAACTAAATATACACTCTAACACCCCCACCTCAAACCCAAGGAGAAAATGTTTCAAAAGAAAAACTCTCCAACAAAAGATATAGTTGTTAGTAATTGCTAACAACTCTAAAGAGTACATACAAAACATAACTAGGTATACACTCTAACACTCCTTGGCAAACTTCTGCTTTTGATTCATTGAAGTGTTGATCGATCCACACTCATGCAAATCTTTTTAGAATCTCATTTGCATATTTTTTTTGACAAAACAAGGATCTAGGTCTTTTGAGTGATCTCCATGCCCAAAAATAAGTCATAAGACCAAGATCAGTCTTCTGAAAGATGTATGTCATTTCTTGCTTAAAATCTTCAATTAGTGGTAGGTTGTTTCCTGTGATCCAAGGTAGTCAAAATCAATATCTTACTCAATATTGGAAAGAGAAGTATGGATAGTAAATCAGGAGATCGTAACATAGATCATAATAAGACCCTACAAATTTTCTTGGGCTGGTTGTCATGTGTGGAAGCAGGTGTAGAGGAAGGTGATTGCAAAGGGGCTTGAAGTGGGAGTATTGTTTCCTCTTCATTTTGTTTCCCGTCATATCTCTTTTTGCTTTGTGTTAATGTTTTGAATCTCTAAGGATTGGCATAAAAAATGGTCCATCTGAAATTAATTGTTTTCGTCTCACATTAATCTGGTTTGTTGGGAAATAACAATATTGGTATTGGTGCATATGTTTTTTGTTCTGTTTGGAAATTGACTAAATGTAAAATACTTCCTTTTCCATCTAGTGCTCATCGTGTTCATGTTGTTTTGAAATGATTCATAGTGATGTTTAGGTATGTTTCCTGTGGCTTCTTATCTGATTATAGGTATTTTGTTACATTTATTAATGAATACAGTTGTTTTATTTGAATATATTTTCTTTGATCCAAATTTGGAAGCCTTGGTTCATTAGTGGGTGGTTGTTCTTCTTTCATCAATCAAGTTACACTCCTCCAATAGATTTTTACTTTCTCCTCAAAGTAATTGATCATTTAAGATGTTTCTGAGATTTCTATAGGGATGACAACTTCAATACCTTAGGTCATTTGAAAAGGTGACTCTCCTAGAGCTGAATGGGGCATTGGTTTTCGTTGTCTGTATATTTTTAAGGAAGGTCCTGTATTGTCCTTTGTCTATATGTCTTCTATCTAAATGGAATTCTTTAATAGAAAAGTGAAATTCTTACAATTTTAGAGGGTACAGTTGTTACAGATGTGACTTTGGTTCTCCACTTCTATGTAATATTACGTTTCTATATTTGCGAATGGTAGGAAAAGAGACAATTAGATGAAGAAGCACAGGCACAGTTGGACATTCAGCTTGCTCAGGAGACAACATATGCCAATAAAGCTAAGGATATAAGCACTGAGGTTGATTATTGTTTGCTAATGTTTTGTTTTTCCAAGCATATCATTAATTTGATGCCTTATAGGAGTACATCAGATATTTTATGTTATCAACTACATATTATTTCAGCTTTATGAGGTCGATATGCAGTTGAAGAGTCTCAAAGAGATGGTGATTCAAAAGTGCAGGTTTGTGTAAAAATCATTTATCATATTTGGTCCGATATATTGCATTTCAGTCTGGAGCTCCAAATGCTTGTTTTATGATAGTATGCAGTATTTTTTTTTTCTGGTCATCTTCCTATGATGTTGAAGGGTATTTTGCATTTTGCTTTCTTTACCGATGTTGGTGACACTGCAGGAAACTGTCTACTCAAGAGAAGAAAATGCTTGGCGTAACTTTAGGCAAATTGTCTTTAGAAAACCTGTATAGGGCATTGGATGTGGTTGCTGAGACTAACCCAATCTTCCAACCTACGGGTGATGAGGTGGACCTTGACTTAGATGCTCAGGTCAATACTATTATTCGATGCTAGTTGACAATGTCAATTTTCTCCTATTTTAAATTTTTTCTGTCCTATCCAATTTAATTTAGTTATTTTGTTAGCATTTTTCTAGTTACACAACATGTTTTCATCATTACACAGAGCGACTACACTCTATGGAGGTTAAAAGCTTTTGTAAAAGATGCACTAGAAGAGCAAGAAAAGATCGATGAGGGTGCAGCTGTTAACCCTAATGATAACCCTGATGACAAGAGAAACAAGAAGAGAAGAGACTCTGGTGATTCTTCAGGCAAGACAAACCCAAAAAGGAAGAAGCTATCTGCATTGTGATTCATTAGTGATACATATAAGGCATTTATTTATTGTGGTTGAGCTGAAGTTGCTGAAGCCAATGAATTGAACAATGCAATAGGAAAATTTTGTAAATCCTTCTATAATTATTTACTGCTATGTAGATGAAAATAAAATTTACAAGTGTGCTTTGTTGGATAGGTCTGCTTTTTGAAGCAGACAAAACTTTTGCAACCCTAATAGATTAGAGTAACGTTATCTTGCCGTTCTGAGGATAATCTCAAGTTTCAGAAAATAATTAAGGCATCTATGCATGTGAATGTGCTGAAGATAATCAACAACTGGCCTGACCTGTTTAATTATGTCCAGAAGCATAGGAATGGATGGAGCAGCTTTGACAAAATCAGGTTCATTTTTTAAATTTTTGGCTGCATGTTAATATTTGTTTGTGTTGTTATGGGATGTAAAATAGGTATACATGTGACTCTGATTGTTTTGTCTAATTATAATTACATTCATTCTAATGCGCAACATTACTCGGAATTTTTTTCTTAGAGTTTATTCATATGATTTCACCAGTCTTGAAGTGTATCAGCATATTGGGGAATTAAGTTTTTAATTCTTGCTAGATCATCCAAAAGGAAAAGAACACACAAAAAATTAGCTTAATATTTTATTTTTTTATCTTTTCTTTTTTTTATTTAACAAAATATAACATTTATTATTTATAATATTTACTCTTAACAACAAAGATGTACATTTTAAAAATCTCTAAAATATGTTTACAATTTATGGATAAATTATTGCAGCTAGATAGAGAAAATGGATACAATGTAGTGATACAATGTATTTTCAAATAGAGAACATTTTATTTGAACTATGACACAGTTATTCAATTCATTCCTTGTTTTGAATGTACACAATCATATGTAGAGAATTTTAAATTATTTTCCGATTTTTATTTGAGCAGTGCTTCAGCTTCTTCGACCTCAACACCACCAATCATATATAAAGTAATGTTGATAGAAGAAAAATGTTTAGAGTTTTGGATTTTAGATTTTTATTTCGATGAAGTGGCCTATTAATTGTTGATGTGGCGTAACAAAAAGGTTCAATGATCAATAAAATCCACAATCTCTATTTTCAAATTATTTGTACTTTTTTTTTATAATTTTTTACCATTAAAAACTAAATAAAACGATATAAAGTAAATATTTTATAAACAAAAGGACTAATATAATTTTTTTCTTCATCACTATCATCATATGAACATACTCTGTTTTACAATTCATTTTTTATTATATTTTAATTTTAATTGAATTGTTTTATCCTTTACTAAATGTTTTTTTATTATGTTATAAAAATATAAATAGGTAATTTTATAAAGATATAAATTGGTAATAACAGAGTTGCACATTGGAAACATGGGTTAAATATGTTTTTAGTCCCTAAACTATCAAGTGAATTTGTTTTTAGTTCCTCTTTTAAACTAAGTTACATTTTGATCCTTCTCTTCAAAGAAACCATAATTTTTGTTCTCCAAACCTAACGGCGTTAAAAAAAGACCAAAGTGGCTAACGGTGGAGTTGCACAATTTTTTTTTCTGACATTGAGTCAGTCTTTCTCAGCTTTTCTCCTTCCCTCTCCCTCGTCACCTTCCTTCCATCTTTCACTCCCTCCATCATCTTCACCAAATCCTCCATCATCTTCTCCAATTCCTCCAAACAAGAAATCCATCACCGCCACCACAATCACCATCTCTGCCTTTCTCAACCCAACATCCCTATTCTATTTACACATGAAAATCTAACATTTTTTATGCTATGATGATCTCTTCAATATTTCTGCTTTATTGGTCATTCTTATCAAATTGAAGAATAAACTGCCCCAAGTTTCCGTTAATGTTAGATACAAAAACATTTGCTTTACAATCACTTGCAGGGAAAGTGAATATTTACTTTTATACTGACTAATCACTTTTCAGTTTTTAGTCAGAACTTTGAAAATAAAAACTAGAAAAGATGCGTCTATCTTTTGTTTTCCCTTAATCCTAAGAGGACAATGTTTATCGAAACCAACAGGCCCATATATTTTTGCCAAAGAAATTATGACTAAGAGCTTATTTCGTGAGATGTTGAACATGAATATTACTTTTAAAATTAGTTTATTTCATGAATTTGGTGAAGCTTATTCTGAGATGATGGTAAAGTACACCTGTATTTGCAGGTCACTGGGTTGTTGTTAGATAACTTAACAAGTTGGGATGCATTGCGTGCTGCTTTACCTGTTGGTACAGTTAGCGGAGCACCGAAGGTAAATTTTAGAACCCTTGCTAATGTAGTTTTTGTCCATCATACGACAGGCACTCGCATTCAGTTATGATATTACTTGTGCTTAATAGATAGAGTTAATTGGGAGGTAGTTATAGCTGAACATTATGTAACTGATTGGATTGTTATAAAACAGGTAAAAGTAATGGAGTTGATTGATGAGTTGGAAGTGGCAAGACGAGGGCATATAGCGGGGGATTTGGAGGCATATCTTTTAATGGCGATATGGACATAGCCCTTGCACTGAGAACCATAGTTTTTCGTACTAATGCTCATTATGATACGATGTACTCGTACAAGGATCATATGAACAAACGCAGAGAATGGGTTGCCCACCTCCAGGCTGGGTCGGGAATCGTTGCTGCAGTGATCCATCTGATGAGTAGAGAGAGCGCGAGAATAAAGCTGTAGCCCTTGCTTGTGCCATCGATCTTGCAGAATCTTCTTTTGTTAACAAACAATAGTTTCAGTGTGTTTATCATACATGTGGCGGAGGAGGCTGACAAGTTCATCAAGCACCCCTTCTTCCGGAAAATGCTGCACGTGCAAGACCGCAGCTACTTCGACCATCACCACATCACTAACCTCGTTAACAAAGATGCCTATGGCCATACATCCCGTCTTGAAACAAAAGCAATTTCACTCCTTTCATTTTGAGTCTAGGAACAAAATAAGGATGTTGTGTGGGGAGGTTGGGTTAAGAGAGGCAGAGATAGTGATTGCGGTGGCGGTGATGGATTTCTTTGTTTAGAGGATTTGGAGAAGATAATGGAGGATTTGGTGAAGATGATGGGTGGAGTGGAAGATGGAAGGAAGGAGATGAGGGAGAGGGAGGGAGGGAGAAAAGCTGAGAAAGACTGACTCAATATCAGAAAAAAAAAATCGTGCAACTTCACCGTGAGCCACCTCGGCCTTTCTTTAATGTCGTTTGGTTTGGAGGACAAAAATTATGGTTTCTTTAATAAGAAGGATCAAAATGTAGCTTAGTTTGAAAGAGACACTAAAAACAAATTCGCTTGATAATTTAGAGATTAAAAACATATTTGAAATGTTGATTCATTTAGAACTATTATCCTATCAAAACTTTTTACTTTTCCATTGGATTTTCTTAGAAATCATTCTCACTAAATTATTTGGATATATTGCAGCAATAATAAAAAAAGTGGGTGAACTCAATTCATTAATGACGAGAACTTAATATAACAACAATAAACTTATGGTACTCTTGGTCATCAGTCAAAGAGTCTAGGACTAGTATTTACTCCATCTTCCTATTTTAAAAAATGCAATTAATGTGCTCATTCATTCCTCCATGTAAATCAACCTACTTAATTAAACAAATAAATATCTTGAACATTCAAATTATTTTAATATTATTTAATAATATTATAAATTTTAGCATTAATAAAAATGTGAAAATTTTACATGATTAAAAATAATAATAAATTATTACAATAAAAATAATAATAATGATTATTATTGGTAGGTAATATAACAGCCGACCTCTAACTTACTTCAACATTATTACTAATTTTAATTTACAAGTTTCATTTCATATCTAATAAAACGCTCACTCTATATATGTATTTTTAATTTAAATTTAAATTTATAGTGAACCAAACTTATCCTAAAAGTCCCTTTTTGGCCTCTTTAAAATTTAAGAACTATAACTTTGAGAACCAAACTGACAACAACAAAAATTAGAAGGATTAAAATCTAAATTATAAATTTGTAAAGATATGTTAGTCTTAGATGTCAGTCTTATATCAGAAACTCATATTTGAAATATTTATATATTAACATATTATGTATATTTTAAAGTAAATAATAAGACATATACACATAGGTCATGTTTTACTAATTTTTTATTAATAATTTAAATAAATATGTTTTGTGACCTTTCTTTTTAAAGGCATTTTGATGCTGCACAACACACTTTCTTTTTCAATCATAATCATTATGTGAGTGAAGAAACAGAATGATGAGCTCTACCTTCTCTTAAATCTTCTAATATTCACATCACTTTTAAATCTCTTTTCTTTTCTCTTCCTTTTCATTCTATCAAATGCAGCTAGATAATTAGACTCCAACGTCATTCATTCTCAAAGTAATAATATTTTGTACCACATTTTCTTTTTCAAGTATTTCTTAATCAATTTTCATTAGAAAAAAAAGCTAAACAAAATCTATTGATTGTTAAGTTATATCTACATGAAGATCTTGAATATGTGAAATTACTTGACTAAATTATTCTCCAGAACTGACTAAGTAAAGATGTTGTTTTTCTTATACAGATTTTTACTTTTTATTCTTTGAAATGTTTCCCTCAAAGGAATGGAAATAGAAGGAAAGGGAACATGGTGGGTATCACATGCAAGAATAATAATAATAATACAAATGCAAAGTTGAAATAGCAATAGCAACAGAAGCAGCAGCATCTTCTGCATCTCCTTGTTGAGGTGGTTTTCAAAACAAAGGTTTCAGATTCATATCATCATCTCAAGACCAAGATCATAATATATATATATAACAGAAGAACAAGCCCAACATGTCCCCTTTTGATTCTGTTCAGACAACAGCAGAGAGCAGTCACAGCATGAGCACGAGCACTAGTCCAAGTGGTGGTGATGTGCTTCTGAAGTGGGGTCACAGAAAGAGATCAAGGCTCTCCAGGGCTGCCATTGAAGACTCATCATCTTCTGTTCACACCAACATCAGAAGAATCTCTCACTCTGTTCCTCCCAACTTCTCCATGCCGCCGCCGCCACCACCACTTGTTTCTTCTACTGCCTCCAGCGGCAGAGGTAGAAAGCACAGCCCTAGGTATCATCACTCTCATTCTCTATTTACATTCTTAAATAGGTTCAACATATTACCTTCTGTCATAATTAATCATGTCTTGTAAAACCACACATGCGTTTGTGTTTGTGCCTACTTATCTATCTATCTATCTTTCTTGGTATCACTGTTTTTTTGTTTTGATTCAATGGCATTTGAGTTTGGATCAAACTTGTCTGATCTCAACCTTGTTGAAAGTGCCAAAGTGGACTATTTCCCCCTCCCCATTTTTGTCATTCCAAAAATGACCTAATTCTTTGAAACTTTCTTGGATCCCTTATTGTCCCTTGGACTGTACTTTGTTTCCCTTTTATCTCTGACATTGAACATCCATGTTACCAACTGAGATTAGATAT